TGATTAGTGGATCTTGCCTACAGCAATAATTACAGTTGTGCTCTAATGTTGATATGGTACTGTATCTTTTATTTGTTTGATAACCTGCCATTTTGTCCAACACCACACTAAATACAGATCAAGTAATCAATAAAGACTTGTTAAATGTAATTGAATTTCAAGAAACATTTATGTAAAATAAAGTGAGATAGTGCAAAGTGTGTATGTTCAAGGCTAATATGTATTTTGGCAGTTGTGCTGTTCTTATGTCATATGTCCTGATGGATGGACTGAGAATAGAAAGACAAAGAATTAACTACCTCATCTCTACTAAAACTAGGAAAACTTCCTGGAGAAAGGAGAACAATAATATTAGTTGTATAGTGCCTTAGAGATTACAAAGTGTACTCCACATTCATTATTTAGGATTTCAGAAGCTCTCAGAAGCAAAAATTTTCAGGAAATGAAAATTGAAAACAACATTTTAAATTTGTGAAAAGGTACTATTAAACTGTGAGTTGGAAAATTAGATGTAGAAACTACGAAAGGTTGACCAAGCAAAGCTAAAGCAAAGGCAAAAAAGAAACAGATATGATTTTTTTAAAAAAAAGTGTGAGTCCAGTGCAAGGCTTTAAATCAGGTGGTAAAGTTGATTTACCAAACAGTAATAAACCAAGGCACTTAGACTACCAAAGATAAAGAGAACACAGTTAAAATAATGAAGTATGTCATTAAAATAAATATTAAGAATGGACTTCATGGGAAAATGCACTGAAGGTAAAAAATGAATAGAATCTTTATGTATGTGCTTACACATTTCTCCACTGGCAACCTCCATTTTTCCAGTGCCTTTAACATGCTTTTAACCTAGTAGGCATCCAGAAATATTGCTGAAGTTCTACTCTGTCTCAGACAGAATGCTAGACATTTTGGGATATGCAACAATTAGATATGGTCCCTTCCCATTAATAATTTACATTCTGTTAAAAAGTAAAACAAGATAGAAGGGGCCAAAAGAAAGAAAGCTGCAAAACCATCCAAAGAAAGAAAAGATAACTATGAAATGACCTGTTCAGGAAAGGCTTGTGGAAATAAGGGGCATTTGCAGAATTGGGTAGAGTGGGTAGTAAGATTCTAACAAAGCCAAGAAAAAGGCATTTAAAGCACAAACAGAATGGCTGAACACAAGGGGTTGAGATAAAGGTGTTTTAAGGAAACAGTGAAAATCAAGCAAGGCTGCAATAAAAGGTATACGAAAGCATAAGAGTACAAAAGATAAGCTGAGATTTTAAAAAGGTTTTTGAATGGTAAATTGAGGAGTTTGAACATTTCCTGTAAGCAATCCAAAAATAATCAAAAGATTTCCAGCAAAAGAGTGACATGATGAAGGTGATATTTTAAAAATATTAAACTGGCTTTTGATGTGCACAACAAATGGTATATATCTTGATTAAAGATATGATTATGGCAGTAGAGAGACAGGCATACAAATAAAGCACACTGAATATATAACAAACAGGAGCAGACAGTAGCCAAATAAATTTAAGAACAAAAGATTAACCTACGATTTCTTTGTTAGGAGCAAGAATAGCATAACATCACATAGAGCCGAGAGAAAGTTAGGCAAAGAGTAAGACCCCAAAGTATGAAGAATAATCCTATTTCCTATTTTCATTTCTTCCATCATGTTTGTATGAAATTCAAGTTGCCTAAGCTAAAGTAGAATAGGTAACTGTATTAAAGGACTAACTAGAGAAGTTCCCAAAGTGATATATAAACAGCGACTTTAGAAAGAGGAAATGCAGCTGCCTTAAAATGCTTTAAAAGTATTCAGAAAATACAAGCCACATGACTTGCTAATTGCTCAGTTAGTTCAGGGAAAAACAACAAAAACAAAAAATCACATCAAGGTAGCAATATGAATGCATTAACCAGAGAAGTGTACCTCACCCAAGCTGGGTATCAGTTCATTTAAATGTTAGTATATAACAAAACTAAATATTAGTCTCTTCTCTCATTACCACGCACAAAAAAATAGGCACGTTTATGTTCTCCACCTCTAATTCTTAAAAAGAATTCTCCCTACATTTTCTTAATCCTCTCAAACAATTCCCTAATTCTATCTCCTTTCTTCTGTATAAAGTTTGGTCTACTGCATTTTATTTACTTCTTAATTCCACTTTAAAATGTTAAATATAAATTTTCTGAAGCTGCTTTTAATACAAGTAGGAATATTTAGTCTTCATATTTAGCCTTTGCAGTTGACAAAATATTTTATACACATTACCTCTCAGAAGCCTCACAGAAGCAATGCGCAGGAGGTATTATCATCATCCATATATTATACAGAAGCAGCAAGCCCAGGGCCACATATTCATAAGTGATAGAGTCAGGCCTGAAATACAGGTTTTCTGAATCCAAATTCCATATTCTCCTCCCTATGTCACTCAGTTTCATCATGTGCCAGTAGCTATATCTAATTATTCAAAATGTATGTCATTATTCTATACTATGTTTAAGCCAATACATCTCCTTTTTTAAAAAATTAGGTACTTATGCCCAAATGGCCCTATTATGCGGCCATTTATTGAGAAAACCTAATTATTTTAAAAAGCTCATTATGATGATAGTTATCACTGGATGAAAAGTGATGACTGAAGTATAATATTTGCAAAATTGCTGAGCCTATACCAAAACCATTTTTGCCTTTAATTCTGCAACACAACATGTAACAACAAAGACAATATGGGTGATTTAAGGATATATGAGCATCAAAGGACAGAAACAGGGCATTCCTACTCTCTTTAGCTGCGCAAAGGCCTCAAATACTGGTATAGTTCAGAGCATCTTATTACCAGGGAGACATAAATCAAAAGGAGTTCAGCTAGGAGCAATAAAACAGATTAGTGTCTGAAAGAACTGACTTTAAAGAAAGTTTTAAAAGAATTAAATCCAGGTAGTCTAGATTAAAAAAACAGCTAAGAGGAAACCTTTTTTTGAAGCTGACACTCACAACAAAGAAATTATTTTGAAGATAAATGTCTGAAACAATGCAAAAAGCAACATTCACATATTTGGAGAATATAAAGGGAAAATTCAGGAGACATTTACTGACAAAAACCTATGGGACAAAAGAACTTTCTCCCACAAGAGTTGTGAAAACTACATTCCTAGAGATATTTAATACCATGTTGGACAAGACAAGAAAAGGATTCCATATGGAATGATCCTGTACTGGCCCCTGAAGTGGTGGGAGGAATAAAGATGACCTCTTAGATCTTTTCCATTTCTGATTTTTTCCTAATTCTATGAAGTTTTATGGGGCACGGCCTTCTACCAATTTCCTTTCTCCCCATGATGCCCACTTTCTCCTTTCACAAACGGAAACAAATTGTAATCTTCATTTTAAGCAGATCTCCCATTCTCAGTGAATAGGTAATATTATCCTATGTACAAATTTTGGAGAAAAAGGCTAATTCCTAAACTTATAATAGTTCCCCCACCCCCCACAGTGGTTCCTGGGACTCTTACAAGTTTTTTCACAAACTAAAGAAGTAGTAGTTCAAATGGACTCAAAGAAGAGCAGTTTCATCAGGAAAACCATTAATATCCTCCCTTCTTGTACCTGAACACAAAGCTGACAGTGACCCTGGGAGCTAAAAAGCACTGGGTCAAATTACCATCAGAGCTGCTGCTCAGGATTATCTTTTAGCTTTCAGCATTTTATGCTGAGTGACAGCAAAGTCTACCTGCAATCCACATTTTCATAGCAATGACATTTACCTTTGAAAAGATGTAGCCTTAAACATCTACACACTTGACAAATGTTGTAAAAGAGTAAGTCTGATTCAGGATTCAAACTCAAGAAGCCTCAGCCTTGCCCTCTTTCTCATCTGACACTTAGAAAAAAAAATGTTTCTCAGCCAACCTTGAAACAGATCCCAACTCTTCAAAATTCCTGTTCAGTGAAAGCCCCAGAAAATACAACAGGCTTTTCCTCGTTTTGCTGATTTATAAGGACAAGATGTAACAAAATCCAGGGAGCTCTGAGAACACGTCCCTAAGCCCTTTAAAAATAAAACTGCAGCTCAGTTATGAAAAGGGACAGCAGGGCAGAGATAGCCCTCCAGGAATGGACACTAATGCCTCTTCTATGCAATCTAAACAACCTTAGTGGCTGAAGACCCAACAATTGCCATCTTGCCTATTTTACCCACACAGAAAGTTCATTGATATTAAAACCAAACCCTCTAAACAATTTTTTAAAAATACCATTTTCACTTTTCCCTTGTAAAAATGAGACTATTCGTATATTAAAAAAACGACTGGCCTCTCATTAGAATAGGATTCAGAGCTTTCAAAGGCCTTCCAACACTCAACTCTGATCCTGGCAGGAAAAGCTGGCAGTTATAATTCCATTTTGAAACTTAGGGGGTGGGAAAGTGTGACTCTGAGATTAGGCAGTCTAAAGGAGAACTCACTGCAAAGATTTTCAAACCTTTCCAACAAGGGACCAATCTAAAAGGAACTATTCCAGAAAATTTTAGTGGATTTCAAAAACAGCTGAAGACTTCGGTAGCCTCATCTCAGGAAAGCAAGGAATAAGAAAAACAAAAGGCAACTTTTCCTATAATTTCAGAATGGAAACGTGACCCTGACCCTTTAACAGCCTACCAACCTGAAAGAATTTTCTCAAGAAATTCCTTGAACCTTCTCCCCACAGGACTAGTCAGCCAGAAGTTTTGGCTACTATTTCTGGGCCTCTGTCTGAGACTCAGCCGCCGGAGAAAAGCCAGGAGCCTGGACAAGGAGACCCTGAGGAGCCCCCTCTCCCTAATCACTTCAGAACTCCCACACTCCTGTGTCCCCTCGCCTACAGCTACCAGTTTTTCAGGTGAGCTCCAACCTGGTCCTCCTCCAAATCTGCACGCCCCCTCACATACACACACACGTACACAATTTGCTCCCCCGCATTCCCCAAACTTTACCCACCCAACAAAAGTGGGAACCAAGTTTCTCACCATCCTCATAGTTTTTGAGATAGTAATCCGGGCCGGGACCCCCACGGCTTTTTGCCGGGTTCCTCAGGTTCTGGAACTGCAGGAAGTCGGTCCTTTTGCCCCCGAAGCGCAGAAAGGCGGGCGAAAGTCCCCGGGCCAGGGTCACCAGACGCTTGGAGCTGCAGGGGTAGAGAAGGAGAAAGGAAAGGATACGGGGGACAAGCGAGAGGCCGCAGGGCACCAGCAAATCCCTCTTTCCATTCTCTGTGGAGTTTCGCCTGGCACCCTACCCCGCCCAGCTTTGGGCCGAGGTACCCGGCGCTGCGCCTCCTGCGCCCAGCTGGTCGCGGCCCCCTCCCTCAGGCACCCCGACGGTGCTCACCGAAGGCAGTATTTACAAAGAGTTAGACTGTTTGTTAACAGTGTGTGCATAGGTTGGGGATACGCTTCTGCTGAGAATACGGAACTAAGGCGCAGTTGCTGGGCTTCTGCCACTGCCGGGAAAGCGCACCGAAAGGAGTCGCGCAGCGCAGGGACCTCGGGCTCCGACTTTTGCCAAACCTCGGCTGAAAGAGGGAGTCTGCCTCCTCTGCCCCAGGGGCAACCGCAACCTCTATGCAGAAGATGAAACCCTCCTTCTTTCTCTCAGACCAGGCACCTGACATCAAGTTTGATTCTTTTTTTTTTTTTCCAACGCCAAAGGTGATTTTCCTTTTCCACTACCTTATAAGAACTGCATGCATCTCCCAAACCCTTGTCTTTCTGAGAACACTTCCCACACCCGCCTTGCACAGTAAAAGCAATGTCTCTGGCTGATAATTCAGCCAGATCTCAGGAAAGGTACCGACATTCTCTCCACCCGCCAGTTGGGCTCCATCTTTTTCCCTTCCCACTTGGGCTCATTTGGAAGCTCTGAGGAAAGTGAAGTTTGCTGAAATGTGGAACGTGCGCGTCGCAGCAGACTCTGAAGAGCATCAGAACAATGGTATTTACAGCTATTTAGGTTCAGGATTTCCATAAATAGGTTTTTTTTTAAGCCAAACACTGCTAATTAGGAAAGGCGCAGAGAACTAGCAATGCTGATGCGCTTAATGCTAAGGGCATCAGCTTTTGAGTTTCGGATTTCTAAGTTATTTTTAACGCTTTTCTGGTTCAGGTTCTGAAAATCCAAATCCAAATGGTACTAAAGAGTATCTTGAAGACGGCGGATAGGAATGGGGGGGGGGGGGCGGTGGACAACGGAGACTCCGGTTTCAGAGTTTCTGACAAAAGCTGTGGCCGCCCAGAGAAGTCCCAGTAGGGAGAAGGATCCCCTGGCCGTGGACTCCAGGACTGCATTACCAGGCGGGCGCAATCGGGCGTCGTGTGGGCCCACGGCTGGCAGAGGAGACCGCCGCGCGAGTCCGCCCCGCGGAACCGGCGTTTCCAGCAACCGTCCAGCCGGAAGCCTGCACAGCCAATGCAAATACGCCCCGCCACGGCTCCTTTCCCGAAAGGCCGCCTTCCACAATCTTTTCTGCGACAAGCATTTAGCGAGAACAGTAAAGGTTTTGTTGTTGTTTTTAAGATAAGAAGCAAAAGAACTCCAAAGGAGTCCACGCAGCTGGAGAACCGCGATGCAAGTAGGGAGTGTAGTCGCTAGCCCCCCCGCGGGGCTCCCCCCCTCCCTTCCCGGACGAGCTCAAAGACGCGCGCTGCTGCAAGGAAGAGCTTCCGAAGAGGAATCCGGGCCGCGCAGAGCTGTTCCCGCCCTCCCAGCGGAGGCGCAGGCTGGAATCCGAAACGGCCTCGGCAGCCGCGGCAGCAAGCACTCAGCCTTCCCGCAACGCTCGCTCCACGTGGAAGAAACGCCCCAAACTGCGCTTCCCGCTACCTGCAGCGTCCGCCCGCCCGGCCGAGGTCAGGGGAGACCCGGAGAACTGAGGGGCGGGCGCACACGAGAAGCAAACTCGAATTTCGGGGAGAGTGAAAGATACTCACGAAAGACGCACGGCGGACGCGGCCTCAGGGCAGAGAAGTGAGACTGAGAGCGCTCGGAGCTCTTCGAGGGAGCCCACAGCTGAGCTCCAATTTGGAGGGAATTTTTTAAAACTCAACACTTGTATTCGACATTGTAGACAATTTATTTTTTATTTATTTTTACAATGCAACTCTCTCCCTGTTGTGAAGGGATCGTGGTTGCCTAACTGCTGAACAGTAATAACCGGGGAGAGGGTGCGCCCCAATTAAGAGTCCAAGCCCTAGAGTAATGTAGAATCCACGATTAAAAATCTCCCGGCTTCCTAATCCACCGGTGCGAGATTCAGACCTCCGAAACATCCCTAGAGTATTTCTAGGACCCTTTCCGCTCTCCTTATATACGCTATGACGGCAGCGAGGGTTTTTTCTTTCTTTTCTTTCTTCCTTTCTTTCTTTCAAGAAAAACTAAGCTATGCAGTTACCGCAGATTTAAGGAGGAGGGAGGGACTGGGGGACCATTCGGTCTATTAAAAGTATCTTTCAAACTTCTTAAGTTTGGAGAGGATAGGCAAGGATATCAAATTAAAAATCCGAACCAATTTGCCCACCGCTGAAGCCTCTGCCTAGATTGATTCTCTGTCTGGGAGTGGGAGAGAACTGACGAAACGATCTTTCCGTGGAAAATTCCACTTTCGTGCGAATCCCGTTTAAACATTCACAGACACACGCAGACACGCACTCTCTCACACACACCCATTCCTCTCGGATCTTTTCTTCGCTTTTGTAACTACCCTGAACCTCTTGTTTCTCTTCAGAAGGAGTCCGGGAGGCTAATTGTGGATATATGTAAGCACAACATTTTTTCAGTCATAACTGATAAGTTTCTGAAATGCCTTCTGCATTGCAAACATGTGCATCTTAATAGAAAACATTGCTTTTCTCAATCACCAGTTACAGCCTCACAGCAAATATTCCTGGAGGAGGAAAACCTTTCTTCTCTTTGAGAGATCCGCCTGGTGCATTTTCTTCTTCTTCTTCCCCCTTTGGAATGGGGGGGATAGGAAGGGGTGGGGGTTGCTACTTAAAAAAAAATGATCCATCGAAGCCCCTGCCTTACCTTAAGAAATCGAGCCAGCCATCATGAATGATGGACGGATCCAGCTGCAGAGAGAGGAAGTTCTCATTGACTGTCCTGACTGGGTTCTTGGTGCTCACATCAAGTAGAATCAGGGTCTTTTCCTTCATACCTGGAGCTCTGTCTACAGGCAAGGGTCTCCTGTCTCCAGCTTGGGAGGAAAGAGAGCAATGGAGCAACAGAGCCAAGAAGAGAGCCACCGGGGCTAGGCACGCGGGGGGGCGGGAGTTGCTGGAGGGCATGGCTTCAGGGAAGGCACAGAGCACCTTCATTAAATCCCTCTGATTTAAACCTCTCTTCCTACAGGGTCTCGCTGGTGACTAATTGTCCTTATCTAAAGTGTGTGTCTGTCTGCCTTCCCCCCCCCCCCCGCTTTTTTTTCCCTTCCTTTCCCCCCCTCTCTTGAGCTCTCTCTCCCTTTTTTCTTTTTTTTTTTTTCTTCTTCAGTGTTTTGGTGCTGGTGGAGCGAACTCACGCCCCTAGCCAGCCTTCTCAGAGACTCGTGCCAAGAGTACTCGTTCACCAGCACCGCCCCTTTAAGAGATTTCGACTGCAGACATTTTTAAACTTTTTAAAGGTAAGGGGGTGGAGGGGGGGGTGGGGGAGGCGGGAAGTAGGAGGAAGGGGTGGTGTTGTACCCTCCGGGTTTAACCCTCTAGGCTCGGGAATCGGAGGGAGGGATCAAAACTATACCGTTGTAACATTTGGGGTACGGGCGGGACGTCTTATTTTTACTTCCCTCCCAGTAAGGCTCTGGGGAGGGCGATTCTAGCTGCGACCCCGACGCGAAAGCCCCTGCGCCATGGAGTCGAGGCTGCACCAGTCGCTCGCCTGTTTGCCCTGACAGCGTCAGGCATTTCGACTACTCCAGGCCCTTCTCTTTGGGGTAAAGAAGCGAGAGCAAGGCTGGTTAAGTTGCAGAGGGGTCCTGCAGTGGCGACTGTGATTCCTGCCAAAGCACAGAGAGCAAAAGGAGATTCCATGGATGCAAATACGGACCTCTGCGACGCGCTGGGCTGACACACACAAGCCGCCTCTGACCTCGATGGGGCAAAGAAAGACCGGCCAGAAGGAACACACAGAGTGATGAGATCAAAAGGTCTATCTGCCCGTATGGGTAAAAGGCTGTCCATGTTTCCCATCTGCCTGCAGCCGAGGCCAAAATGTCTTGGGGGATTCACTATATATCCTGACTTAGGCCAAGTCAAAGCAACCCTGTCTGTGCTTGCCTAGTCTGGGAGGCGTTGCGCCGATCTGAGCCACTGGTTGACTACTCCACTGCAGCAGCAGAGCCACCCCCTCAGCCCCACCTCTGTATCAACCTTGGGCTCATCCCTCCCACCGGGAATTACACCTTTCTGGTGCCAGAACAGAACAGTAACACAATTAGGTTTCCAAACTCAGTCGGGAGCCAAAGCCAGAATCTTCCCACACTTAGTTCCTGGATGCTCCAGAACAGCCAAGAACTGCGGGGTGCACCACCCACCCTGGTTCATGGATCCCCAACCCACAGCACCTCCCAGGGTGCTAGGATTGAGCCCTAGGTCCCCAGTTAAAGTGAGAGAGAGAGAGGCCAGACCTAGTGTGCTGCAGTCACACTGTCAGGTTCCACCTTTCGGCTTCTTTCTGGAATAAAATGGGGCTTCTACTTGGCAGATGAAGAGAACTACTTTATGTGGTGTGGGGACTGCATGAGCCTCCCAGGGCCTACTGATATCAAACATGCAAAACTCTTAAAATGCAGAGCCAAGGTTTTCCCCAAGGGTTCATGAGCCAAGAGCAGCATCACAGCCACCAAAAAATGGTAAAATGGCAACCTACCTCTCCGTCCTTCCCCTCAACTGAAGTTCCCTGAAGAGCTTCTACCAAACTAATCAACCAGGAAATAGAGCTTAGGTGGGTTAGACTGGGAACTGCCATGAAGACCTTTTAGGAGGTCTGCATAAAATGAGACCAAAGCAGGGAAAAAAAAAAAAAACAACAAAGCATATTATTTAAAGATGATATTTAAAACCAAGATGTTAATATACTGAAGCATTAGAGGTGATCTCTGGCCCTAAAACCTGCTTCCCACAGTTCCTAAAAATGTCTAACACATCTAGATCCTTGAAAATATGTGTGTGCTTCTATGTAAGGGTGCGTGGTATGGTGTGAGTTTCAATAGAAATTATTGTAATTTTTAGATGTGTACTGAGCAACTCCTAGAGATGGGAACAGCCTAGAGACGGTGAACAAAGGTTTTTACTTACCTTTGTATCACCAGAACCAGGCACTTAGTAGGCATTCAATAAATGCCTGTGAGCTAAATTAATGGTAAATCAAATCATGCTCAGCACACTAAAATCATAGACTGCTCACAAGAAGAATGTGAAAATAAATGCATAGTTTTATTTGTCACAGTAAACTTTTAGGTTTCTTTTCAGTAATTTGTTTTCCCAGTTATTAGCATTTTTCTGGTTATCTCCTTTAGGAAATACTTATCTTCCAAATTCAGAAGCCATTAGTTCATTGCTTATACTCAAAATTAAAACTAATTATATATTTTTAACAAGGAGTCAGATTTTCCAAGGGCTTAAACACCTCCTGGACTACAAGTGAATGTACTTTCAGAAGCCACATTAATTGGGACCAAAGGAAGACCACCTGAATGAAATAAAGAAATCACTCATCCACTAGATGTCTATAATTAATATACCTTTCAAAAATAGCTACTCTTGTGACTAAGAATGAACTTGGTTATAATGAGAATCTGCTTAATTATGAATTTTATCCACAGTTTTTGTTAGTAACCCAACCATTCAGTAATTTCTTGGTGGCCTAATTAATTACTTTAACCAGTATTCAGTGTCTTCGCCAGAACCTGTTCGTAGTATAAAAATCAAACCCAACAAAACAGTGTTTCTTTTCCTACTTTGTGAGGAAACCCATCTCTCTAGTCTGGCCACTGAAACTCTAGCCATGTCCAGCCTGAGGACATCTAGACAAATAAAGTGATTCAATAACATTTAAGGAGTCCCAGATAGTCCTGACTGACTCTGAGATGACTTGTTTAGTCCTTTGGTCTAGTTTGGGTATAACTCTACACAGGGCTACTCTTTCCAAATAGGACCTCCCTCCCCATATCACAGTTTTTCTCTTACCTCTCATCTAACCCTAATTATATTCTGTAAGTAGCTCATTGTTAATGTGTATATTGATGTTTCTATCCTATCTTCTGTGTGCCAGGTGATAACAATCTATCTCTCTTCTGCCTTAGATTTTGTAATTTGCTAGGGAATAAGAATTGGGACTCTATATAAAATATGAATTATTGGGAAGTAGATGCATTGAAATCTCTCCTTGGATATGCTCTGCCTGGTATTACTGAATGGTCCTTGGTCCTTATAGATAAATTATTTTGCTTTCTGGGAGTCTAAGTTTCCATATCTGTAAGAAATCTTGAAGATTAACTGGTCCAGTGATTTCTAAACAATAGGATTTCAAAATAAATATTAGTGTGGAAGAACCAACATATTTGCCAAATTTTTATTTTGTCTAGTAAGAACCTTAAATCTATCAACTACTTATTACTATTTTTTCCCAAAAGAAAAGGACGTTAACAGCCAAAAAAGAGCTGAAATGAAATGTTAACATAAACAGCAAGTGTGTAAACTGAATAAATTTAGCTTCATGAAAAATCACTATAATTTTTTATCATTTCATCTCAGAGCAGTGGAAATATTCCAGTGACCATCATGGGTACTATGATTGGTGACTGGAACTAATGACATATCCTGTGTTTATGGCCAAATTCTACTTTGTAACATACAGTCAAGATACTTTTAAATGATGGTCATTGTGACTATAATAATTTCTTTCCAGTCTCCTATGCTTTTTCCTCATTTTTAGCTTATCACAAACTCATTGACTCCCTTTCCTTCTATTAAACATTGAAAATCATTGGCATTTCAATGCCTGCTTTCCCCTTCTGAGAGAACTATTCCTAAATGTCTAATAGCTAGGAAAAAAAAGAAAAGAAAAATTCCTTCCAGCAAAATGGGACGGGAAGCATGAAGCTACAGCAGCCAGTCCACTGCGTCATTGCTGCCTGGGTATTTGTCCATGATGACTACTATTTATTGAGATCTTATGGTCCAGGCATGGTGCTCAGGAAAATCTCACTGATCTTGAATAACTCTGAGAGGTAGATACAATTCATTATTACACCTAGTTTATATATAAGAAAATGGAGACTCAGACTTGTTAAGCAACAAATAAACAGCTAATAGATGTTCCCATCACTTCATGGCAAATAGATGGGGAAACAATGGAAACAGTGAGAGACTTTATTTTCTTGGGCTCCAAAATCACTGCAGATGGTGACTACAGCCATGAAATTAAAAGACACTTGCTCCTTGGAAGAAAAGCTATGACAAACCTAGACAGCATATTAAAAAGCAGAGACATTACTTAGTTGACAAAGGTCCGTCTAGTCGAAGCTATAGTTTTTCCAGTAGTCATGTATGGATGTGAGAGTTGGACCATAAAGAAAGCTGAGTGCCGAAGAATTGATGCTTTTGAACTGTGGTGTTGGAGAAGACTCTTTGAGAGTCCCTTGGACTGCAAGGAGATCAAACCTGTCAATCCTAAAGGAAAGCAGTCCTGAATATTCATTGTAAGGACTAATGCTGAAGCTGAAGCTCCAATACTTTGGCCACCTGCTGCAAAGAACTAATTCATTAGAAAAGACCCTGATAAGATTGAAGGCAGGAGGAGAAGGGGACATCAAAGGATGAAATGGTTGGGTGGCATCACCAACTCAATGGACATGAGTTTGAGCAAACTCCAGGAGTTGGTGATGGACAGGGAAGCCTGGTGTGCTGCTGAGCGACTGAACTGAACACAGTTAATAAGTGTCAACAAGGATTGAAACCCAGGGCACACTGACTCCAAAGCGTATGTCTGTGTTAACCACCACTCTCTAAGGCTAAAGTACTGTATTCCCTCAAACAACTGGTCAACTTGTCCCAACTTTTCATGGGAAAACCCCTGGAACAGGAGTTGGAAGACCTGAGTTTAAGTCCTGTATTTACAGATTCTACATATTCTAGCTTTGTTACCTTGGGTACTTTTTTAAAACTGTTCTAAGTCATAACTACACAAGCACGCCAGGCTCCTCTGGCCACGGAATTCTCCAGGTAAGAATACTGGAGTGGATAGCCATTCCCTTCTCCAGGGGATCTTCCTGACCCAGAGATTGAACCCAGGTCTCCTGCATTGCAGGTGGATTCTT